TCCTGCTGCAAATTCTATGAATCAGAAATGGAAGAGCTCGACTTTATAGATGCTACAGAGAAGTCCAGAAAGCACATAAACACTTGGGTCGAAAAAAAGACAGAAGGTGAAAAAGTATATGTATTTTTTTCTGTTTCGAGTAGTAATCAGTCTTATTGTCAGTTCTTTCACAAGACTGTCAAAGGTTAACAGGATTTCTTTTTCCTCTAAATAATGGTGAGCTTTGAAAATTTGCTTCTGAAATGTTGTCAATCAGTGAAGGACCTTTTCTCCAGTGTTCCCCTGCTGTCATTAATGTATGTGTGATGTCTCTGGATATTGGGTACACTTCTTCCAGAACATTCCGCACTTTCATGGTTTTGTTTTTATTCATATTGGTCTAGTCTTTCCTTTTACAAATGGTGTAAAGAAAACTCATCACAGGTCTGGGCTGTTTTTCTTTGTGGTATGATTTATGCTGTGTAGTTTTCACACCTTATTGCAAGACACTTAGTCATGCCCTTGTCTACCTGCAGTTTTTTTGTTTTATTGTGAGAGAGAGATTTTTGCTATAGGGTGTATGCACTTGCCAGAGAGACAGAGGGAGACAGAGAGACAGAAATAACTGCCCAGGAGGGATGGACATGTCGAAATCCCTTCTCCTCCATTGTCCTCTCAGGATCTTGGGCACACACGCACATGTGCCTGGCGTGTGTTTCAAGGCGCTGGGTCCAGGACTTGATTGACAATGTGAGAGTCCAGCGACGTAACCATTACGCCTATCTGCTAATCCCCTATCTTCATTTCTTCATTTAAACTCCTCTTTAAATTGGTGAAGAACATCTTATTTTTTTCTTTAATTTTAAAGTTTATTTATGTTTTTCTTCCATGACAAAGAGAGAGAGAGAGAGATCCCCTAAAGGGTCTTGATGCCATGATACACGTCTAGCCTGAGCCAGGCCCAGATTGTGGGCATGTGCCTTCCTGGGTATGAACCTGGAACCTTCTGAAGAGGGTCAACCTGGCAGAGTGTCAAATTTTATCTTTGTATCACCATCCAGCCCCAATATATTGGGTGTTTTTTCTTTCTTTCTTTTTTTTTTTTTTTTGACAGTCCTTTAAGTTCCTGTTTTCAAGTCATATGCGCTAGACACCTCTTTCCATTAGACGTGTTATTCCATCCTGTCATATTAACATCTACTTGTTCGTTTTATGCATTCTCGTCAAGCGTTGTTTCCTTACCAGAACTTTTAAAGTTTTTGTTACTTTGTTTTAGGGACAGAAATCCTTTATATTTGGAGGACGATAAAACCTTTTATCCATGTACTTTACTGTTCAAGGACACGGCCCATCTGAGTATCATTCCTAGTGTGCCTAGCCGCAGACCTTTTTAGCTAACTGGTCCTTCTGTTCTTTCTCTTTTCAGGTAAAATTACAGAATTGCTGTCTCCAGATTCAGTGAATTCACTGACTAAACTAGTTCTCGTCAATGCCATCTACTTCAAAGGAAACTGGGAAAAGCAGTTCAACAAAGACTTTACCAGGGAGAGCCCATTCAAAGTCAGCAAGGTGAGGGACCAGCAGTTAGCGTAATGGCTATGTCGCTGGACTCCCATGTACTCGACTGCGGTTTGAGTCCTGGACCTGGTGGCTTAAACTCATGCCGGGCACGTGTGCGTGCATGCCCAAAATCCCAAGAGGAGAAGGGAGGAGAAGGGACTGTGAGGTGGCCCCCCCCCCCCGGGGGGGGGTGATTTCTTGCTTTCTGTCTCTCTGACTCTCTCTGTCTTTCTGGCGAGTGCACGCGCCCTATAGCAAACCTCTCCAAAAAAAAAAAAAAAAAAAAAAAGCCAGCAAGGTGAGTATCTTGCGATAGCAAAGGCGGTCAGTGATCCCCTGGTTTCTGATATGTGAGAAGGACACCTGTGCTTATGCAGCCTTGGGAACCCCAGCACTGGGCCTCCCCACTAGCCTGGGGCCTTTCTGTCGCCTTCCCATCCTTTCGTGTGTCGTCACAGGTGGACACACACTCCTGCGGCTCCCTGGGCTGTCACCGCCGTGCCATGCTGGTGTGTTCTGTCTACACGGCAACCTGAAGGTGTAGCTCTCAGGCTTAAGTAAGGTCCTTCGGGGCTTCTCAGAACTTCTAGATAAAGTCCAAACTCCAGAGCGTGGTGTAGAGGCTCGCCCTAGTCTGTTCTGTTGCTGATGACAGAATTCCCCGAGTCTGGGTACTTTATGTACTTTATGTACTTAAAGTACTTTATGTACTTTAAGCTGAATAAACCTCTATTCAGCTTACAGTCTGGAGGGACATGGTCCAGGGACTGCATCTGGTGAGGGGAGTCTTGCTGGTTTAAACAAGGTGGAGGGCAGGAACTCCAGCACAGCAGAACGTGTTTCTGTCAGTCTCACTCCTCCTTGGAAACAGCAACTCAGCATGGGGATCCCGTCCCAGTGCCTCATCCCTTCCCAGAGGCCCCACCTTTCAGCATATCAGATGTTGTTTCTGCCCTCAACACTGTCCCAGTGACTGACCAGTGTTAACACGTGGGTTTTGGGGGACACATTCAAACCACAGCAAGGCTCTTGGTGGACCTAATCCTGCCTGTTTCCCCCATTTCTTTCTCTTCATTCCCATCAGTTCCTACACACTCCTCTCTTTCCAGCGGCATCCCATCCAAAGCCTTTTTTTTTTTCCCATCCAAAGCCTTTGAAGACAGCCCTTTCTTGGCGTGGGTGTCTGTGTCCCTCCTTTAAGCAGTCACTGCACCCCCTGCTGGCCTCTATGGGACATTGCAGGTGTTGAAGGACTAAGGAAGACCAGCTGAGTGTATATGACTATCATACTGGTGCCTTGCACGTAGTTGGTGCTCAGTAAATACTGACCCAAGGACTGCTTTTGTCTAGTTTTGAGAGCAAGCATAATGTAAGTACAGGTTGTGTTTAACGGCAAGCAGACAAAGAGCCATGTCCATAGGATAAGCCCAAAGTTGAGCCCGCACGAGCTTGGAAAACGTTATTTGGCTAAGCCCTCTATCCCTCTCTCACTGAATTCAATTTTTCTTTCGCTTATCTTTAATTATAAAGATTTTTGCACACATGCCAAAATAAGACAAGAGAGACTCATTGCAGTACATTCTTGACCACTGACCACAAGTTAGATTCGATCTAACCAGGCTGATCTAAACCTGAATCTTCCTTCAGTTTCTCAAGAACTATATTTCCTGTTGAGCTTAGTTCTGAAATGAGCTGTCCTACCTTCCCCTAGCAATAGTCTATCTGTCCTGGTGATAATCTGTAACAAGATGTTTGTCAGGACATCATTCAGCCGCAAGTCACAGAACCCCCAGCTCACTGCAGTTTGACTCCTAGAAGTTCCTGGAGCTCTGGAGTGTGGAGACCAGGCCTGCTGTGCTTCCGGGGTGATGTGCATGGAACCAACTCTCTTCCTGCTGTGCTGTCCTCACTATGTGGCCTTCTTACTCATGGTCACAAGATGGCACAGAGGTCACCTTCCAGACCAGGCAGGAAGGAGAGGGAAGGATTAGGGGTAGGGAGCAGAAGCCTTCTCCTATGGAGGGTCTGACCGTCATATACAGAAAGGGCAGTCTTTCTTCTGTTTCCCAAAGGCCAGGACTACTTCACGTGGATGGAGAAGGTGAGGGATCCTCTCTACTTTCTCCTCTCTGTAGTAGAGAAAGGCACAGGAAGAGGCTGCAGTGCTAAGTGCACCAGCCTGTGGTAGGGGATGGGGTGGGATAGGGGAGTCCAAGGACACAGATTTTGAGTTGATATGGATCTTTTTTAAAGTCATGGAGAGCACATGTATTTACACGAGAGGTATGGGGAATGGGAGGAGAGACAGGAGAACCCTCCACAAGACTGTATCATACAATGATCCCCTTCCTTCAGTCCTTCAGCCCACTAGGATCCTGGGCATGTATGTGGACATTGACCCAGTGTGTTTTTTCACCAACCGGATCAAGGATTCAAACTGCATTGGCCTTGTGGCCTCCAGCACTGCTGTCTGTCAAGGTGCCATAGAGGCTTTTCATTTTAGTTCTTTATTTCTACATGCAATGAAACATATTAGTCAATTACATATTTAGTGAGTCTCCTGTTACTGAAGTTAGATCCTTACATATGATAAGATTGGAGGCCTTGAGCCCTGGAGACATGCAGGGAAAAATTGTCTAAGGCAGGGGTTAGCTACTACAGCGTGCAGGCCAAAGCCCAGCCACTGTTTATTTTTTTAGACAAAGTTTTATTGGAATAACTCACGCTTATTTGTTTACGTAATTCATCCCACAACAGCAGAGTTGAATAGTTGTAACAGTAAACTTAAGGCCTAGTAAATGGAGAACATTTACTCTCTGATAAGCTATGGAAAAAGTGTGCCAATCTCTACTCCAGAAAATGGAGTAGCCTTCATTGAAGGCAAGAGGCTGATTCAGGAGAGCCCGCAAGGGGAAGACAGAGCCACAACAGAAATGTCTGTGCTGTGTTCCATTTCATGCAGCATAATGTACAGTTTCAGAGGATGGAGACTACAGAGTGCCCACGACTGTGCTCACGTGGTATTTAATAAAGCTCACCATAGCCGCTAATATGAAGTTATAGAGGAGTCAGGAACTGAGGAGGATTTTTGGATGGGAGGTGGCTTCTGTTCTCAGATCTTTCTCACTGTTTGGATGGTAATGAATTGGCATCGAATGCAGTTTTCTTCTAGTAAGATGTATACATTTTGCCTGGACGTTTCAGCATTTCTGCTCACTAGTTCATTTCTTAATTACCAACAGATGTTGATTGAGTGCTTGCAATATGCCTGGCCTCTTGCTAGATACTTACATCTGGGTATAAAACTGTGGCTGGGTTTAGAACTAGCAAAGCATGCCTGCCTTCCTGAAGTTTGCATTTTCCTGAGGGAGAAACAGCAAGCATAAATAAGAAAATAAGAGTGACTTAGACAGTGTTAAGTGCTACAGAGACACACGAAGGAACGGGATAGGACATTGTGTTGAGTGGCAGGTATAGTTTCAGGTAAGAGTCATCAAGGAAGGCTTCACTGAGGGGGTGATGTTTAAGGAAAGACCAAAAAAAAAAAAATCATGCTTTCTCGGTTGTGAGGATGAGCTTAAGGGGCAGAGATGGGATGAGCCTGGTTTGCCTGTGGAACCTGATGAGCCCCTGCAAGTGGGGGACAGAAAAGGGAGTTTAGTAGTAGATGAGATTAGAACAGAAATGGGTACCTGCAGTATTTAAGGACTTAAGCTTTTGCTCTGAGTAGGGAGAACCACCAAGAGATGTCCAGTCAGAGAGTGATGTGATCTGACTTCGGTTTTCCAGACCCCTCTGGCTGCCCCACAGAGAAGAGTGGTAAAGAGGTCATTGTGTCTTCCAGGACTAGGCTGGTAGCAGTCAAGGTAGAACAGGTCAGATTCTGGTTATATTTTAAAGCAGAGTCTCTATCCATTTGACCCTTGAACAATACAGATTCGAACTATGCGGAGCCACTTATATGTGGATTTTTAAAAGAAATGTATTAGAAAATACAGTGTAGTTCTCTAATTGTGTTTCCTCTTTATGATTTCCTTAATGACATTTTCTTTCCTGTAGCTTGTCTTGTTCATAGTAAGAATACAATGCGTAATCCATATAACAAACAAAGTACCAGGTCGTTGTGAAAGTCATGATGCCTTTTTTTGTGTAGAAAAACATGTCACAGGACCAGCAGTTAGCGTAATGACTATGTCGCTGGACTCTCATGTAGTCGACTGAGGTTCGTGTCCCAGACCCGGTGGCTTAAAACTCATGCTGGGTGTGTGTGCGTGCGTGCCCAAGATCCCAAGAGGAGAATGGAGGAGAAGGGATTGTGGCATGGCCATCCCCCCTGGGGGGTGATTTCTCACTTTCTGTCTCTCTGTCTCTCTCTGTCAGTCTGGCAGGTGCACACGCCCTATAGCAAAAACCTCTCAAAAAAGAGAGAGAGAGAGAGAGAGAGAGAGAGAGAGAGAGAGAGAGAGAGAGAGAAAAGAGAAAAACATGTCAGAACTCTCCCAACCACCTAATATGGGTTAATCAATTGTTTATGTTATCAGCAACAGTGGCCACTTGTAGTTAAATTTTGGGGGAGTTTAAAGTTATACACAGATTTTCATTTTCATTTTCATTTCCTTACCTATCTGACTCTTGCGTTCTTCAAGAGTCACCTGTAATTTGCTAACAAGTCAGTTACAAGGTGCAAGAGAGCGATAGGAACTAAGGACATTCCGGGGCTTTTGACAACTGGACGGATGATGTCTCCACTGACTGAGATGGGCAGAATTGTAGATGGAACAGACTTGGAAAGGAACGTTACACTGGGGGTTTCTTTTATGTCTAAAGACAGCTGTTAAGGAAGCAGTAAAATATATGAGTCTGGAGTACAGGGGGAGGTCCAGGCTTTACATAGAAACCTGGGAACTGTGGGGCTGGGACTGGCCCCATAGGCTAGTGGTTAAGGGAGCCAGATTCCATGTGGTTGGCTGCAGCAGCTTGATAAACATGCCAGGCACTTGTGTGAGCATGCCAAAATCTTGATAGGATGGAGAAATATTGGAAGAAGGATTGCATCATGACCATGTTCTGTTGGAGGTTGCTTTCTCCTTTTCTGTCTGTCTCTGGTGAGTGCACACAGTCACTGCTAATGAAAAATAGGGGCCAGCAGGTGGCATAGTAGTTCAGGTACTGGACTCCCATATGGCCAACCACAGTTCAAGTTCCAGACCCAGCGACTTAAAAATTATGCTGGGCACGTGTGTGTATGCTTGCTCAAAATCCCAAGAAGAGAATGGAGGAATTACTGTGTGGCCATCACCCCTCGGGGGTCATTTCTCACTATCCCTTTCACTGTCTCTGTCTCTTTCCGGCGAGTGCACATACTTATTGAAAAATAAATAAATAAAATAAAAAATAAAGTTATGACATGAATGAGGTCACCAGAAGACAAGCAGTGGGCTCTCCGGTATTTGGAGGTTGCGGCAATGAAGACAAGCTGGCAGAGAGGGGCCAGTGAGCTAATTCTGGATGCCAAGGGAAGAAGGTGTTTCTAGGGGCTGAGAGTGGCTGGCACTGTCAGATTGGCCCAGAGGGTCTTGATTTGACTTAACATTTAACTGTTTCCTTTCTAGGACGTGGTGAAACCAGTGCAAATGATGTATATGAAATCGACTTTTAAAATGACTTATATAGGAGAAATATTCACCACAATCCTGGTGCTGCCCTATGTCGGCCAGGAGCTGAACATGCTCATCATGCTTCCAGATGAAAACACTAACTTGAAAACGGTAACGAGCTCCAAGTGACAATCCTGCAGGGACGGGAGGGAGCTGCCCTAGGGCGTCTCTAGCAGCTCTCCAAGTCCCTTGCTCCGGTGAGCTGTGTGGGCCTAGCGCCACTCTGACCAGGCCGTGAGCTGCCCTGTGTAGAACACCCAGATCCCGGTGCATGACCCTGGTGGACGGCACTGTCCTGGGTCTAAAATCTGCACATGTGGGCAGTGGTAAAGGTGGGAAGGTTCCCAGTTCCTGCCCAGAGACCTCCCTGAGAACACTGGGCAGGCAGGAGTCTATGACCCAGGCTGGCCAGGACCAGGAGTGGACTGCAGTGTGCAGACTCTGTTGGGGATGCTTTCTCTGTCTCTCCTTTTCTCTCTTTGTCTCTCTCATTCGTGGTAAAAATAAATAAATGCATAACCAACGCTCTTATTCCAGGTGGAAGAAGAAATAACTTATGAGAAATTCTTAGACTGGACGAGGGATGATATGATGGATGAAGAAGAGGTGGAGGTCTCCCTCCCTAGGTTTAAGCTGGAGGAAAATTACGACATGGAGGCCGTCCTCCGCAAGCTGGGCATGACTGACGCCTTTGACCAGGGCAGCGCAGACTTCTCCGGAATGTCGTCCAGGAGAGACCTGTTCCTGTCCAAGGTCGTGCACAAGTCCTTCGTGGAGGTCAACGAGGAGGGCACCGAGGCCGCGGCAGCCACCGCCGCCATCATGATGATGCGCTGTGCTAGGATCACACCCAGATTCAGGGCCGATCGCCCCTTCCTGTTTTTCATCAGGAAGCAGCAGACCAATGGGATCCTGTTTGCTGGCCGCTTTTCCTCCCCGTGAGGACGGCCACCTGCAGCCCTTCCCTTTCTCCTGCTGCCCTTTCCCTCTGACACTCCTCTTGTGCCTGCCACCCAAGTGACCTTATCAGTGTTGTGACAACAGTTCAGAAATAAAGGTCCTGATTGTGGAATCCCGTGTTGAGAACCCTCATTCTGTGTGCTCACCTATGAGATGGTTTTCTAGCATCCAAAACTCCAATGCAGCCCCCCTTCTGCATGTTGTGGTCATGCTGACAGGGAAGCTCTGCTCCTTAGCTGCCCTCTGCATGGACCCCATGTCATCACTCGGGGGGAACAGCTGCCCTTGCTGTGGGCCATGCCTCTCCTCCGCAGGCCCTGGGAGACATATGTGCTGCCTGCTCTTTTCTGCTGAAAAGAACATTGAGATCCTGTCCCACTTTTAGCAAGAGAATAATTTTTTAGCAAGAAAATAGAGGACTATAGGAGGCACAGAGGACAGTGACACAGACTAGGGAGGACTCTGTCTTCTCTCTTGCTTGACCTTCTGCTTTCCTGGGCATCAGTAGATCAGAGGCCTATTCAGATGCCCGCTGCCCACTCCTGCTGTTCGAATTGCTACCAGGGGACTGGGGCGATTGGGCATGTTCTGTTCACAGTGATTTAGTTTACGACAACTTTGTGAGTAGACGCCAGGGGACTTTCTATCTCACTGCAGGTATTACATTAGGCATCTAGGGTTTCAGCAGTTCCTTATCTCTCTTCTCTTCCATCTCTGTTAGCTTTGCCATTATGAATGTTCTGAATTCTTTATCATGGTGACAGATGGGACTAAGGAGCTTTGGGAAAATGGGTATTCTGGCCAGGATGAGAAAAGAGGGGGAGCAGAGTGGCTTTTTCTCTTATCCTACCACTTCTGCAGGGTGTTCTCAAAAAATATATTTGATGCAAATATACAGAGAAATATACAGAAATGTCAGAAAAAGAATTCCAAGTATTCATAGTGGCAAAACTCAATGAGATGTAAGAATAGACACACAGTTCCAGGAAATGAGAAAATCACTTCAGGACATGAAAGAGCAATTTCATAAGGAAATAGACACCCTAAAAAAGAACCAAACAGAACTTTTGAAAATTAAGAATACAATATAAGAAATCAATATCTCCCTAGAAAGCACTAACAGCAGATTGGACCATGCAGAAGAAAGAATTTCTGACCTTGAAGACAGTCTCCAACATCGACCAAATCGCCAAAAAGAAGGGAAAACAACAACAAAAAATGACGACAATATACAGGAAATTCTAGGCACCATGAAATACCCAAATATCTGTATAATGTTTATTCCAGAAGGTGAAGAATCTGCTAAAGGCATAGAAAACTTCTTTCATGAAATACTATCTGAAAATGTTCTAAATACAGAGAAACATGGAAAAATTTAGACCCAGGAAATAAAAAGGACTCCAAATAGAATCAATACTAAAATATCTTCCCCCAGCACATCATAGCCAGATTGATCAAAATTAAAGACAAAGACAATATTCTAAAAAAGGCAAGGGAGAAATGTCAATTTACCTATAAAGGTTATCCCACGAGGATGACGTTAGACCTCTCAACTGAAACAATGCAAACAAGGAAAGAATGGGAAGATGTATTCAAAACATTAAAAGAAAAACAGTTTCAACCAAGAATACTATATCCAACAAGATTATCCTTCAAGAGGGCAGCAGGTGGTATGGTGGCTAAGGGGGCTGGATTTCCACATGGCCTACCACTGTTTGAATCCCGGACTTAGTAGCTTGCTTTCTCACTCTCTCTCTCTCTGTCTCTCTCTCTCCCTCTCTGGTCAAATTGAAATAAATAAATAAATGAATAAAGTTAAATAGCATAATTCTTTAAAAAGATTATCCTTTGTAAGGGAAGAACAAATAAAAGTATTCTCTATAAGCAAAAATGGAAAGAATTCACCAATACTAGACCAGCTCTACAGCAAGTACTGAAGCGAGTTTTGTATCAGGATAACTAAACACAAACAGAAGTAGGAGAACAAAAAAACTGGGAAGATGACTAACAAAATGACAGGGATAAATCCACAAATATCAATCATAACATTGAATGTTAATGGGTTAAATTTTCCCATTAAAAGACACAGACTGGTTGAATGGATACAAAACAGAAGCTAAATGTATGCTGCTTACATGAAACGCAACTCACTAAAAAGAACATTCATAGACTGAAAGTTAAGGACTGGAAAAAAAAATTTGATGCAAATAGAAATGAAAAGAAGGCTGAAACCCTAATATAGATATCAGACCAAATACATTTTAAGATGGAAAATGAAAGAAAGCACAAAAGACTTCACATAGTACTGAAAGAACTTGTTCACCAAGAAGATATAGAACAGACAAAAAACAAAGAGATACAAAAAACAATGATACCCTACACAAAATGAACTTGACAGACATCTACAGAGTATTTCATCCAACTACAACAAAATATACATGTTTCTCATCCCCACTTGGAACATTTTTGAAGACTGACCACATGATAGGGCACAAAATAAGCCTTTACAAATTCAAAGGTTAAAAATTATATCTAGCATCTTTTCCAACCACAATAGAGTAAAACTGAAATCAGCTACGGAAAGAGCCCTCAAAAATTCACAAACACATGAAACTAAACAAAGTACTCCTAAATGACTTTACAACTGTAGAAGAAATTAAGAATGAAATCAAAAGATTTATAGAAACCAATGATAATGAACAAACATGTGTTTATAATCTTTGGGACACAGTAAAAGCTGTATTAAGAGAGAAGTTTCTAGCAATTAGTGCCCACAAGAAAAAACCAGAAAGGTGGCAAATAGACAAGCTAATGACCCAACTCAGGGAACTGGAAAAACAAAAACAAACAACAACAACAACAAAACTAAAAAATACTAGGAGAAAAATAATAAATATTGTAGCAAAAAGAAATGAAATAGAGAATAAAAGAACTATACAGAAAATAAACCAAAAGCTGGTTCTTTGAGAAGATAAACAAAGTGAACCACCGTAAGCTAGATTAATTAAGAGCAGAGAAAGGAACCAGATAAATCAAATCTCAAAGAAACAGGTGATATTACAACTAATGTAACAGAAATACGAAATATCAGAATACTTTATGCCAGCAAACAAGAAACCCTAGATGAGATGGACAAATTTCTGGACACACATAACTTACGAAGATTGAACCAGGGAGAAACAGAAAGTCTGAATGGACCCATAACAAGCAAAGAGATTAAATCAGTAATAGTCTCCCAACAAGGAAGAACCCAGACTCTGATGGCTTTACTTCTGAATTCTACAAAACTTTAAAAGAAGAACTAACCTCAGTTCTCCTTAAACTATTTCTAAAACTTCAAAAGAAAGGAACCCTCCTGAATTAATTCTATGAAGCTTCCATCATCTTAATTCCAAAACCAGACAAGGATATGACAAAAAAAGAAAACTTCAGGCCCATATCCCTGAAAAATATAGATGCAAACATTCTCAAACAGATATTAGCAAATCATATTCAACAACATATTGAAAGGGATTATACACCATTACCAAGTAGGCTTAATTCCAGGGATGTAAGGATGGCTCACCATACACAAAACAATAAATGTAATACATCACATTAACAAAAGGAGAGATTAAAAAACATATGATCATATCAATCAATGCAGGAAAAAACCTTTGATAAAATACAACTTCCCTTTATGATTAAAACTCTGAGCAAAATCAGCATAGAAAGGACATTCCTCAATATGATAATAGCTATCTATGAAAAACCCATAGCTAACATCATCCCGAATGGGGAAAATCTGAAAACTTTTCTGCTAAAAACTGGTACAAGACAAGGATGCTGACTTTCTCTACTCCTTTTCAATATAATACTGGAAGTCTTCACCAATTATGTAGTCGACTATGGTTCAAGTCCTAGACCTGGTGCTTAAAACTCATGCTGGGCACGTGTGCGTGCGTGCCCAAGATCCCAAGAGGGAATGGAGGAGAAGGGATTGCAGCATGGCCATCCCCCCTGGGGGGTGATTTCTTGCTTCCTGTCTCTCTGTCTCTCTCTGTCTGTCTGGCGAGCGCATGCGCCCTATAGCAAAAACCTCTCAAAAAATATCCACAGCTAACATCATACTGAAAGGGGAAAAAAATGAAAGCTTTTTCATTGAAAACTGAAACAAGACAAGGCTGTACACTTTCTCTTCTCCTTTTAAACATAAAACTTTAAGTTCTAGCCAATGAAATTAGACAAGAGAGTCAAATAAAAGGCATCCAAATGGGAAAAGAAGTGAAATGATCTCTACTTGCAGATGGTAAGATGCTATACATAGAAAATCCAAAAGAATCCACAAAAAATTAAACAAGTCCTTGAAGTCCAAAATCAACATACAAAAACTTATAGCATTTTTCTAGACCAACAGTAAGCAACTGAGACAGAATTGAAGAAAGAAATCCCATTTACAATAGCCATTAAACCAATAAGATATCTACAAATTATACCAAAGATGTAAAAGATCTGTAAAAGAAAACTGAAATATTAGAAAAATGATACAAAATAGTAGGAAATCATCCTGTGTTCCTGGATTGGAAGAATTAATATAATCAAGATGTTAATCCTATCCAAATTAATCTATAGATTTAATGTGACCCCAATCATAACACCAGAGATATTCCTCACAGCAATAGAAAAAAGCAATCATAAAATTTGTCTGGATTCATAAAAGTTCCCACCACTGTATCACCAAAGCACTACTGTGCAAGAGGAATAAAGTAGGAGGCATCTCATTTCCTGACCTCAAAGCACGTTACAAAGCTGCAGTCATTAAAACAGCATGGTATTGGCACAAAAACAGACAGACTGATGGAACAGAATTGAGAACCCCCAAATAAACCCCAACACATACAGCCTACTGATTGTTGACAGAGGGCACAAGGCAATCCAGTGGGAAAAGGTAATCTCTTCAGCAAATGGTGCTGGGGGAACTGGATAGCCACCTGCAGAAGAATGAAACTGAACCCTTATCTGTCACCACTAACAAAAAAGCAACTCAAAATGGATTGAGGATCTAAACATAAAACCTCAAACTATAAAAATACTGGCAGAAAACAGGAAAAACTCTTGGAGACCTTGGAGTAG